TTAATAATGGGAGTTATGGAGAGTGGTTGATAGAGAAGTGTGTGACATAAGAACTATATACAGAGGATCTATCCAAAGGAGGAAGTGGTCCCTTTAAATTTAAGTGTGCTGGTCCAAAGCCCCATACAAGTTACTGGCCTGAGCTTGAAGTTCCCTTCCTACTCTGAGAGTCTCTCATTATATGAACTCAGTGGAAAGACTTTTATGGTAGGAATTAAAGAGTCCAAGGCAGTAAATACTAGGGCATAGAAAACTGGCTTGAAGTCAGGGAGACTTAAATTCAATTTCTACTTCTGATCCATGCTGAATGTCAGAGCTCGAGCAGCAACAACACTTTACTTTCTCTGGTCTCAGACAAGTCTCAAGTACTAAAAGTAGTAACACAGGTAGCAATCCACACTAGACAAAAATGCTTCCTCATAGGGAACTCTCTATACTCATGAAGTCACAGGTCATCTCCCAGTCTCACTAGTGTTTACCTAGCTTACAGGCTTATATAGTCACTTAAAAACTGGAATATTCATTTCTTCCATTGACATATATATGTATATATATATATATATATATATATATATATATATATATATATATATATATGAAAGAATATTTGTATCATGCAAACTAGAAAGATGATCTTACATTTACTAAATATCAGTTATTCTTTTGGTAACAGTGGTGAAAGGAGGGAGAGGTTGGCCAGTAAGAAATGGATGGAAGAGTGAGTGTAAGTGAGTATCAAAAATCATAGTGAACATATGAAAACATTTCCCTCCTTGAGGCAGATTTTAAAAATAAAAGTAAGAGGAACAAAAAGAGGGGAATCTTTATCTCCCAAGAAGAGACACAGAAGTATAAACTCAATTAACAGAGTAATTTTTTTCCATACATTAGCTTAGTTGATATTGCTAATACTGAAATGACCTGCAGGTAGAAATTAATGAAGGAATTAGAATTATGAAAAGTAAAAAGAATTGTTTTGCTTGGACTTCAGGAAGCCCAAGGTTACATGTATTGGAGAAGCTATATTTAAATTTTGTATATTTATTAAAAGTTTTCATTTTTAATTGTTCAGTTTTAGAGGAGGCATTGCAAAAAAAGAGAATAAATGCTGAAAGATAGAAAGAAACAGAGACAGAAACAGAGAGAAAGAGAGAGATAAATGAATTTGGGTTTTGTTTTATTTTTTAAAGAAAGTGGTAGAATGACAAAACAGTAGGGGACTTGAAACAAGAAAGAAAGATAAATGAAATACATAGAATTAGAAGGGACAAAGGAAAGAAAGAACCTCCTGAAAAGAAAAGTCAGTGGGAATACAGTAGGCTAAGAAAGAGGAAACAGGATGGAAATAAGAGGTATTATCAATGGCGGCCTTGTGAAAGAGGCACTTGAATCTATGTAGATCCAGAAGACAGAAATGGAAGAAATGAATATAAGTCACAGGAAGTTACAGATGTCAGCCAATTATAAAAAGGACTTTCTGTACAAAGTACATTGAATACTGCCAAGCAGCAAGTGAGTTACCCTCCACTGAAAATGGGAGGATCATAGCCCCAATAACTGAAGAAGCTAGTACTAAATGCCAGAGTAAACTTTATGAATTGATCCCTGCTGCTACCTTTTGTTGTTGTTGAGTCATTTCTGTAACGTTTAACTCTTTGTGACACCATTTTGGGATTTTGGCAAAGACACTAAAGTGGTTTGCCATTTCCTTCTTTAGCTAATTTACAAATGCGGACCTAAGGCAAACAGGGTAAAGTGATTTCCCCGGGGTCACACAGCTAGTAAGTGTCTGAGGCCAGATTTGAACTCATGAAGAGGAGTGTTCCTGACTCCAAGTCCAGGGCTCATCCACTGTGCCACTTAGCCACCTTCTGTACCACCTGGTTGCTACCTTACTTAGCCTTGAATCATACAAAAAATCAAATTAAAAGGTATGTTTTATAGAAATGTCATCATTGCAAAGGATATCTTCAAATTTCACATATGTAGATTAAAATAAATTTTTTTAAAAATAATTTATTGATTCTTAATAAAGTATAGGTTTAATTTCACTATAAGGAATCAAACCATGAGGTAAATTCCTCCTCTTAACATCTCATCATGTATTCAGCCATAGACTTTGTCCATGAGGGCTGGCATCCTGTATGCTATGCTACTTCTACAGAGAAATCAATCTGGGAGAATGTTCAAGGAGAACAGAATTGGGTTACTTCTAGAATCATAAACCGAGAGTTGAAGGGAACCTTAAAGAACCTCTGACCTTAACCTTTGGACCTCATTAGCATTTGGGGGAAACCAGGGGATCCCTTCTCAGAAGAATGCATTTAAATAATTGAAGGAAATGCTTATTTTCAGTTAGAGATTAGTGAAAATAGATATATTTGCCAGTTCACATTAATAGGCCCTCTAAATCTACCCATGAACAGGAGAGTGAACAATCCTTGCCTTTGATTAAGCTGGGAACACTTATTTTCCCAAGCTTTAGTATAAGAGTACAACACCATGGGAGACAGACTAACATTACAGAACTAACATTTCAGTGAACTTTGGAGGAGGGATCCTGACTTTGCTACTAACTATTTGTAAGGCTTTGAAAAAATCATTTCATCTCTGGTGTTGGTTGGCACCTTAAAATATGAAGGTGGATTACCTTTAAGCTCTAATGTTCTGTTTTCTCACTTTAAATTTTCCACATAATCCCTTACAATCAAGTTAGTTCCAGAGAATTAATTTTCACTTCAAATCAAACTGAAGTCTTAGCCAAAAGCAGAAAATCAGATAGCTCTTACAACACTGAGTGATTTCTGGAGCTCAGAATAAGGTTCAGTGATGATGGAAAATAAAACATGAAGCAGTGGGACCTTTCCTTAGAGGGAATGAAAAGAAATGGAAAGAAGGGAAGATAAAGAAGGGAGTAGAATGAGATAAGAAAAAGAAAAATGAAGGAGAACAATGAAGAGGAGGGGGAAAGAGAAAGAATAAAAATAAAAGGAGAAACAAAGATACATTATACTTGAACATTATCAATGAAAGTTACACAGACTATTCTATGACAATGATTCTCAATTATACTTGATTAACTATCTCTGATAATATTTTGTTTAATAGTTTTATGAATGATTTAGATGAAGATTCAAAAACATGTTCATCAAACTGAAAGGAATCATTATATGCCTCATGAGGAAAAAGAGATTTGGTGCGGGCATAGATTCCAGCTATCTGACCAAATGTTTGTCTTGTAAAAGAGTGATTGAATTTGTTCTGTGTAGCTATAGGAGGAAATATAGGAGCCAATGAGTATAAGTTGCAAGAAGCTACAAGAAGAGACAATTCTATTTACTATAAGCAATAATTTTCTGTTAATTAGAGGTGTACAAAGGAATGAGTGCTACAATGTGTGTGTGTGTGTGTGTGTGTGTGTGTGTGTGTGTGTGAGAGAGAGAGAGAGAGAGAGAGAGAGAGAGAAAGCTTCCCATCATAGGAAGTGTTTAATCACAGCTATGAAACTATTTCCTATATTCTAGATTGAGCTTAATAAAGTTATAACTTATGCAACCTTACCTAGATTTAAAGCATATATCAGAGCAAATCAAAAGATATGCTTTATCGAAACCTCATCATTCCAAGTGAAAACATGTCAAATAGAATAAAGTTTAATAAAAGAAATACTTTATTGATTCATATCATAGTTTTAATCTCAATGTAAGGCATCAAGCAGAAATGTAAATTTGCAATCCTTACATTTAATTACATATTTCTACATATTTAGACTATTTCATCTAGCACCAAAAGATGCTTCTTCAGAAAATACATTAATTGGGTCAGGTAGAACAGAAAGTAGCTACTTATAGCATCATAGAATCTAAAATTCGAGAGGGCTTAGAGTTGCTAGATATTCCTTTTGTTTTGTTTTGACTAGGCAATGGGGTTAAGTGACTTGTCCAAGGTTACGCAGCTAGTAATTATTATGTGTCTGAGGCCAGATTTGAACTCAGGTCCTCTTGAATCCAGGGCCAGTGTTCTATCCATTGTGCCACCTAGCTGCCCCTAGGTGTTCCTAACAAGCAATCCCTTCTATAACACCCTTTATCTAAGCTTTATTCCATGATAGCAGTGTAGGTAGCACTAATAAGATTTATTACTTTCTTCTCCGTAGCCATGCCAGATGAAAATAAGAGGCACCAACCTACACTTTATGGTTGGCAAAATAATCTTATTCCTAAGGAAAGACTTAGTGCCCATAAGTGGCTAATTAGTATGAACTTGCAGAAGAATTTTAGAGTTATAACCACAATAGTGATGTTGTAACTTCAGGAATTCATCCAAAAAGTGTTTGTTTATGTATTTGAGCAGACAAAGTAGCAGCCAAAATGTGTATTAGGCCATTTAAGTGGTCCTCGTATCAGTTTAAGGACCACTGGAATAGAGCATACTAGCAGTCAAGCTTTTGGCTTGACATGTTCATATTCAAATAAGAGAGAGAAGGAAAAATCACTAGAATTTATATAGCATTTTAAGGTTTGCAAAATGTTCCACATATGTTAGTTCATTTGATCTTTACTTCACTGTGATATATGTGCTGTTATTATTCCCATTTTAGAAATGAGAAAACTGAGGCTGAAAGGTTCCCACAGTTGGTAAATATCTGAGGCAGGATTTGAATTCAGGTCTTCTTGACTCCAAATGTACCACTTAGCTCCCAATAAGGACTGGATTGTGATCTCATGGGTACAGGAAATTCCTAAATGAGGAGACTCTGACACAAAAAAAGTCAGATCAGCCACTGCTCTGAAATTTATGGTCTCAGTTGCATAGAGTACTGAGACGATAAATGACTTGCTCAGGATCACATAGTCAGTATGTGGCAAAGGGATAACTCAAACCCAAGTCTTCCTAGTTTCCAGGCCAACTTTCTATCCACTACACCACACTGCACCTCATTCACGTGTTAAATGGTGGTAATAAGCATGAAGAATATTGTTTCTCTTTATCAATGTTATTTATAAAATTTTTCTAAAACTCACTAGCTGGCCACTCAGTCTCCTCATTGCTGCCTTCATATCTTTGTTTCTAAATGTATAAATGGAAGGATTTAAGACAGGCGTGAAAATAAAGTCAATAATAGCAAGAAATTTATCCACTGGCATTGTAGGGAATGGCCACACATAGACAAAGATGCATGGGCCAAAGAAGAGGACCACCACACTGATGTGAGCTGACAGAGTAGAGAAAGCCTTGGACAATCCATTCGCAGAGTGTTTCTGAACAGTGACCAAGATATAAATGTAGGAGATGAATAAGAGAAACATGCTGCCAATAGAGATGAAACCACTGTTAGCTGTGACAATGAACTCCAACTTATAGGTGTCCATGCAGGCCAATTTGATGAACCGTGGAAGATCACAATAAAAGCTATCAATTTCATTAGGACCACAGAAAGGCAGATTCACCACAAAAGCCAGCTGAGTCAATGAGTGTATAAGGCCAATGGTCCAAGAAGACACCTGAAGAAAAATACACATTTTGGGGTTCATAATGGTCAAATAGTGAAGAGGCTTGCATATGGCAATGTATCTGTCGAATGCCATGGAAATGAGCAGTACCATCTCAGTTCCTCCCATGAAATGAATGAAAAATATCTGGGTGATACAACCTTGGAATGATATGGCTTTGTGCTCATAGAAAAGGTCAGAAATCATCTTGGGGACTGCAACAGTGGAAAGACACAAATCAATAATGGAGAGGTTGGCCAATAAAAAATACATTGGAGAATGTAGGTGACTATCAGACCTCACTGCGAGTACAATAAAGAAATTTCCCAGCACAACAACCACATAGAAAATGGAGACAAACACCAAGAGGCCAAGCTGTATGGCCCAAGAATTAGAGATTCCCAGGAACACAAACTCTGATACCATGGAGTGATTCAGTTCATTCATAAGACTAACTTTAAGGTTACCTGAAAGGAAAAACAGAAACAAAAAATGAATAAGAACCATCACAATAAAAATGTATTTCTAATAGTAGTTCTTGCTAATATGGAGTGCTTTTAAATACCTCTTAGTCATCAGTTTTTTATTATTTTTTAAGCACGAAGACAATAAAAACTCATACAATTATATAAATACATGCAGAAAAAGATGTTGACAAATGTCTACGCTTCTATGTTTGAAACATTAACAAGCATAAGATTAAATGGGCCTTTCCTTAATATGGTAAATGATATCTATCTAAAACCAGGGACTTGCATTAAATGTGATAGGGATAAACTAGAAGCCATTGTGATAAGATCAGGGATAATAATACTAATGACAAATATTCATATACCACTTTGTGGCAGACATTGTACTAAGTGCTTTACAACTATTAGCTCACATATTTGATCCTCACAACAACCCTGGGAGGTGGGTGCTATTTTTATCCTCATTTTACAGATGGGAAAATTGAAACAAGGAGAGTCTAAATGCCTTGCCCAGTGACACAAAGGTAGTAAGTTTCTGAGGTTGGATTTGAGTTCTGGCCTTCCTGACTCCAGGCCCAGTGCTATATCTACCATGCCACCTAGCTGCCCCCAAAATAAAGCAAGGATTCCCTTTATTATGACTATTATTTGATATGATAGAAATGCTATCAAAAGCTATGATGGAAGAAAAAGAAGTTGAAATAATAAGCATAGGTAAATAAGAAACAAAAATATTATATTTTAGATAGCGTGATGATCTGTTCAGAGAAGCCTAGAAAGTTAACAAAAATTAATTGAAACTGTTGACAACTTTTGCAAAATACGAAGGTATAAAAAAAATCTACATCAGCTTTTCTGTATGTTCCCAACAGAGAGAGAGAGACAGAGAGAGAGAAAGAGAGAGATACAGAGATGAACTAAAAGGTGTCCCGAAAGTGTCAGTGCAATTTTAAGCTTTAATGCTTTAAAACTGCACTAATACTTTTAAGTACATCCTCTATACGAATACAACTATAAAACTCTAATTAGAGAGATAGTAATTACTCATCTTTGGGCTGAGTTAATATAATAAATATGGCAGTTCTCTCTAAATTAATGTGCTTATTCAATGCTATACCAAACCGTGAAAGGATTGCTTTATACAGCTAAGGGGAAAAAAAAATCATCCAGAATAATAAAGTGTCAATGAATCTCAAAAGATTTTTTTTAAGCAGGAAGGAAGGGACTTAATAGTATATGTCAAAGTATACTATAAAACATAATAATGAAAACTAGTTAGTACTGATTGGAAATAAGATAATAAGTCAGTAGAAGAGATTAGGTACAGTTTAGATACATAAGCAAAACAGCATGGTAATGTACCATTAGCTAAACCCAAAGATTCCAAGTACAACAATAAGCCTTCACTCTTCAAAATCTGCTGGGGATAATGGAAAGCAATCTGGCAGAAACTGGATTTAGACCAATGCCTCACATCATATGCGACAATAAGTTACAAATGGATACATAACCTAGATATGAAAGTCCACATCATAATTAAATTCAGAGAACAAGGAAAGGAAAACCATTCACAACTACTGGGAGGCAAAGAGTTCCTAAGAGGAGCAGGGGGAAAACAGTGACAATCACAAGAGATAAAATGAATAATTGTGATTCATAAAATCAAAAAAAAAAGCCCAAACAAAATTGATGTAGGTAAAATTATAACAGAAACAGTTAACTGAGGGGGGAAAAGAGTTTCTTCTGATAAAGTTCTAGTGTCTAAGATACATAAGGAACTGGTTCAAATATGCAAGATCCATTCCATAATAGGCAAATAGTGAAAGGATATAAATAGGCAGTTATCAAATGAAGACAACCAATCTATCAATAGCCATAAAAAATGCTCCAAGTCAACAATAAGATAAATATAATGAAGCAGCTTTTAGATCCCACCTAAAACTCATGAGAATGGAAAAGATAGCAAATGAAAAATTACTATTGTTGGAGAGACAGCAAAAAGACAGGGACACTGGCATAGAGCTGGTGGAGTTGTGAATTTGTCCAACCATTCTGGAAAAAAATAGGAAACTATGCCCAAAATGTCACTGAACCATGCACACCATTTAACTCAGCATTATATTGCCCTACACATCTACCCCAAAGACATCAAAGGTAGAAAATAATAAACTTTGCCTGATGCCCCCAGCTCTCAACGATTGCTTTGTTCTCTGAGTTCCTGAAGCTTTTTCATACGTACTATATCATGAACTTGTCATGGACAGTATGCTTCCCAGCGTTACTACCTTTTGATGGGGTGTATCACATCTCCCCACAAAAGTGAAACCTCTTTGTGCTCAAAAGAATATCTTTTCCATCTTTTTCCAACTCCTCAGCTCCCTTCCCAGTGATATGTACATAACTGGTACAGCTGGGTGGCACAGCAGGTAGAGCACAGGGCCCAAAGTCAGCAAGACCTGAGTTCAAATCTAGCCTCAGACACTTAACTGCTCGGTCTGCTTCAGTTTCCTTAACTGCAAAGTAAAGATAGTAATAGCACCTATCTCTGACATTCATAAAGATCAACTGAGATATTTTTAAAGTGCCTGGCACATAGTAGGCACTTAATGAATTCTTGTTCCCATCCTTCCTCACTATATGTGTTTGAGAATGTAGTAACTTACAAATTAGATGATAAAGAGAAAAAAAAGTCATTATTTTCTAACACAGTGTGGGACTTCATATTTATTCTAATTATATCGAATTGAATTAGATTCACTCTAACCCACCAAGCTCTTGCAGTATCCTACCTCATTTCCTCTGGCTTTTGCCATCTGCAAATTTGACTGTCATCAAATTTGGTATCAGGGAAAGCTCTCTAGATTTAGAATTAGGAGACCTGGGTTTGACTTTAATCTCTTTATAATACACTTGCAAAGACCTAGCTACAGTGAGGAATTCCCATTTCATTTACTGCATGAAGTAGTGGTAGATAGTGGATAAAGAGCTGGCCTACAAGCCAAAGCCATGGTTCAAGTCCCACTTCTGACACATACTAGCTTTAGAGTCATGGATGAGTCACTTAAGTGCCTAGGCCACTCTTAAAAACTGTACTTTGTAGAGGAGACTCTGACCTGCGTTGGTAGAGGGGCCTTCCTAATCCAGAAGGTCTCTAAACCAATGAAATTATAGGTCCTGTTCCTACTCTCTTCATTATCACATGCACTTTTTTTGATCCATGTCTTAGCTCTCACTGTTCATACTTTCCACTGGTTCTACCTTACTGATAGTCACTCCTGTCTTGTAAATCGTTTGTGTCTATATCTGTCTATACTTACAAAAATGATTTTAACTATTTAAAAGAAATTGAAAAATAATGTTACTTGATTACTAAGCTGTTGTTTCACTGAACTTTCCCATTTCTGAGCTAAAGAGATAATTCAGTAGGTGTTTATATGTGTATGTACCAGTATGTGTCTGTGTGTATGCTAAATCACTGCTGCTCTATGAGTAACCAAAACCTACTTGATAAATAACATTATGATTTTTTAAATTGTGTAATAATTAAATTAGCAGCTACTTATTTCAAGCAATAATAAATACAAGAGAAAGAATTGTGACAATACCTTAGATTTCCTCGTAAAAATGTTTCAACAGAGCATGCCTCCTAAAAATTTAGAATCCATGAATTTGGTGACCAATAAGTATATAACTTCTATAAAATGGATCTTCCAGATATAGGATTCTGTGATAACAGGTATAAATTCCATGGGACAGCTCTACATACCGATATTTTGGTTAAACATGTGTGCCTTAAGATAGTCTTCAACTAATGGATGCAAACCCCTTGCCTCAAGTCATGTCTTCAGTGTTCCCAGTGATGCTAAGAGGCACATAGGAGAGAAGAAACAAAATTTCATCATAACACAGAATGACAGGAAAGTATTTTGCTCACCATCTATCACGTTTAAGATTCAGTTAAAAAAAAGTGATTATGCTCATTCTATCTCTCTCACCATCCCCATGGCTACCAATATCCCAACCTTATGCTCCCTTCCTAAAGCCATTGTTCATCTGGTTTTTAACTCACAAGACTAGCATTGCCACTTACCTGCCTTCTGGATAACCTCAGTACTAAACTAGATCCTTCTCTCTCCACAGCCTCCATCCCCTAAAAGGAAATCCCCTCAAAACCTGTCTCTTCAGTGTATTCCTCATCAACTGAATAAAGATGATCTCTAAGATTTTGTGTAGAACAGTACAATCACTGGATGACATTGGCATAATATAAGGAATAGGGGGGTTTTCTTCAGAAGGATTAAAAAAAATTCTGGTCCATATCATACTGCTTTATGATATGCTACAAAATCATTTTCTTAATTTCAAGTATCAGGCAGAAAATCCCTTGCATCAAATCAGACATAAATCCTGGAGTATCCCTGGATATATTGTTCTGTACTTTTCCTCCAGGTTACCAAATCAGAACAATTTTAAGTCTAGCATGGGAGCAGCTCAGTTTGTGGCTGTCCAGGATTTCTGTCACATCACACAGGAGCTTTATCTTGGTTAAGATCAGTCCCTACACAAGTGATCCTGATAGCTGCTAAACTTTCACAGAACAGTATAAATGCAACTTACGGTAGACTAGGCAACAAAAGTTCTGCAGGACACTCGGCTTGCCCAAACATAGCAGGAGGCTTCTTGTCATAATCAAATTGCAATATCCCTGGTACGGAATCCTCATGGTTTGGAAACTAGGTGGGAGATTCTTTCCATGCCATTAACTTTAATTTGGTCTTGCCCATCTACTTGTCTAGAGGAAAGGTAACGGACAGCAATATATTCAGAAATTTCTGGCGTGTCTGTAGGATGTGTGGCTAGAACTACCTAGACAGAATAATTATTACTCCACCAGGAACATCAAAGATCAGTGACCAATTGGTGTAGCCTTATTGTGAGTCTTAAGCATGGCCACCTTGGGGATTCTGCCTTTGAAAG